CGAAGTTTACACGCGACCCGCGTATCCTTGTCGAATTTGGTCGCGAACGCCGTGAAGAAGTCGAGCTCAAACTGCTGCACGTCCGCGGACGACCAGTCCACTCCCACAAACTTACCGAACTGCACCTTGTTCGGCTGGCTCACGTACGGCGGCAGTAGAGACTTTTGGTCGTCCCCAGAGTTGGTGCCACTCTGGTCCTGGATCCGCACCACCATTGGCCTGCCACGGGACTTGGCGCCAGCCAGATCCTTTTCGAGGGTCGTCCAGTCGTACTCGCCCCTGGTCGTGGGGCTGCTGAGCTCGGCCATGGTGTAGTATCTCCACTCAAAGCCCACATCCAGTCCCTTGGCCTCTTGTCCCGCGTACACACCGAGTCCAAGGCGCGGCATTCGACGATTGCCGCTCCCACCACTAGTAGTAGTACATGATCGGTTAGTCAGGGCTCCAGTAGCAGTAGTAGTAGAGTCCGCGGCCGTGTTGGTGCTGCCCGTAGCCGTTGTTTCGGTTGTGGCTGTGGTCGTGTCGTCAGTGGTGGACGTAAAATATACGAGCGCACCGACTATCCCGACCACCACGAGGAGTAAAATTATCACGGCAAAGATGATCAAGGCCGCCATCTTATTTTTTTATACGTGAAATAAATCCGATTTCAAAAATACATAATTACAAAAAAAATACACACACACACACACACACACACACACACACACACACACACACACACACACACACACACACACACACACACACACACACACACACACACACACACACACACACACGGCCATGTGGAAGGCTGCGCAGACTGAGAACGAGGGCACCCTGCTGGGTTAGATTTAAAAAAAAATCGGTGAAAAAAGGTGATTTTCAAAATGGACAAAAAAGAAGGCGATTTTCAAAATGGTACAAAAAGAAGGCGATTTTGAGCATGGTTAAAAAAGAAGGCGATTTTGCAATCGGTGAATAAATATGAGGTTTTTCTGGGCAAAAAGAAGGCATTTCCATGTGACCTTGCTTGTAACGTATACAGAATTATAGGACATGACAATTGAATACTATATAATAAGTGCTATATCACGATAATCTGCCATAAGTTGACTAGACCATTTAGCTTGAATTCGTTTCACAATACTGTTGAATCCGACTAACACAACTAACTATTCATCGTTACCGCTCATAATACTTTCATTAGTTTTAGTTGATTACAGCACTCGGGTATCAGTATTGTGAGTATAGCAGCAAATTGATCACGTACAGTGCTCATCTGAAAACTGTACACAAAACCACGGGCGGGCGTACACCCGACCATGTAGCCTTCCGCCAACGCTATGACGACATCAAGAAGAACTCAACAAAACGTTGGTCCAAAAAGGAGATCGCGGTAATGGCCCGGGGCAAGTACTACTACCAACTGATTATGGGTAAACCGCCAACCTCAAACCGAGACACAGCCAGACACGACAGATTCAATCGCTGCTTCGAGTCTACACCAATCCGGCTCTGTGCTATGATTGTAACGAATACGTGCATGTTTACATTGCTCGACTACCGCACCGACGGCTGTCTCTGCCCTATCCTATTTTCTTAATTAAGAAATAAAATATTTCTTATAGGTCCGACTAAGTGCTACATACTTCTTAAATTCCTAATTCCGAAATTTGATTTCCTTACGTAAATCTTAATTTTAAAAATCAGGAATGGACCTTATTACTTATTTCTTACGAAAATTATGGCAATATTTTTTTCTTATTTTTTTTGTTAATATTGACATGGTAACTCTGGTTGTGTCAGAGAAGTGATGTCTCACACTGATCCTTGTAGTCCTTATATATTCGGCCGGGGTCTCATTGTTGGTTTTTGGTCTGGCTTGTAGGACTGGGTCTTGTGTTCGGAATATTCTAAAACACCCCAGAAGACTTGTCCGGCAACTTTTAGAGTTATTAAAAACATTCTGTTTTTCATTGTACAAATAGCAATCAGGAGCATATGTTTTTAAAATAGAAAAGAATATTGCTCTGCGATGATACGGGTGTCAAGCAGATTTAATCGTTCCATCCATATTTGTGCATAAAAATCCAATCAAGCTCGTTTTAACGTTTAATTTTTCACTTCCAATTGAAGGGCTTGGATCCCAGTCCAATAAAACCAGTCCTATAGTTTTTTTTAAACGGCTATAGTATTCTTACATTGTATATAAAAAATACTAAAGTTTGGGTAAAATAGGGTCCAGAATATACAACTTCCCCCGAGGGCCGATTCATAGTATAAGTTTTAACTATTTTTTAACAAGAAGTAGTAAAATACATTCGCAATTTACACTGACAGTGACATTTAAAAAAGTAAAGGCAGTAGTGGATTAATTTATATATACATATAGATTTAAAAAACAATAAAAAATATATATAAAAAGGAATGAATCTATTTATCATAAAAAATTTAACAAGGAACTGAATAACAAACAACCTAAACTTTTTAAAAAGCTAAAATATTAAAATATAAAATATGGGAGGCTATGTACAATCGCATTAAAATATTTTTTAATATTTAGCCATTTGTGAGTTCGTTTTTGTATTTATATTCTTTAAATATAATAATAAAAAGAGCCATAAAGTATCCTATTCCGTGTAAGGAATTTTCAAACCTCGTTAGTTGTATTTCTCTTAGTAGTGCTTCTAAAAGATCAGACTTACAACTGCTTAAATGATATCTATTGTACATGCGTATGTATGTACAAACACTTATTATATGTACATATATACATACAAGCACACATTATATATATATATATATATATATATATATACATATATATATATATATATATATATATATATATATATATATATATATATATATATATGTATATGTATATACATATATATATATATATGCGTGTATATATATATATTTATATACATATATACATATATATATATATATATATATATATATATATATATATATATATATATATATATATATATATATATATGTAAGTATGCACGTCTGACTGTATGTATGTATGTATGTATGTATGTATGTATGTGGGACCTC